AGGGTGAGGTTTTTTTTTCCTGCTGCTACTAATGGCACATTTCAGAAACCTCTCGCATACTAACCTTTTTGATGGGTAAGGTGACTTTCACAATGAAAGAAAAAGATGGCATATTATCTTCCACATGTAAAGCTCACTCAGGGAATGTGATTGGCAAAACTTTCACTTTGGAAGAATACACTGTTATAAACTTTGTGTCTGTTTAAGGCAACCTACATTCCATATGAAGGTACATATGAAATAATGTAGGGTAATAAAGGTAGCTTTTATTTTCCAGGACTCCATTGTGGACTAAGCTGACCATTAAGGAAGGTGAAAGTGAAGGTTTCATTAAAATAAACTGACTTTGAAAGAAATATGTTTTGTCATGTGCTATTTAATTTACCTGTGGTTCGCTGCTTTTTTTTTTTTTTTTAAATGGAACTTAAATTTTAAATCAGTTAATCAAAAATAGAGCAATGGCAAAAACCTGGAAACAAATTCCAGAGTATCTGCCTATGGAAAAGATTTTAAGACCTTCATAGTTCAGAACAGGTTTACCTGTTATATGGGACTGGTGCCTTTCATACCATGCAACAGACACACAATTCTCAGCCCTATAATTGTAGCCAGTCAAAAGTAGGTGGAAAAGATGCTTTGTCTCTGTAAAACACCTTTCTTTTTGATCTAATCAGTACACCAGTATAAGCTGTTCAGTGTGAGGTGCTTTCTTTTCTTTTTTTTTTTTTTCATTACAAAAGGTGTATATGTTCTATGGTATAATGGAAAGCTGCCAGATGCCACCATTAAAATGAAAACCCTTGCAAGCTGTGATATTTATGGAGACAAGAACTCTGCCAAGTGTGCAGCCACAGGGGATGCAGTCAGACATTCCTCTACTGGTAGAACACTGCTTTGTTTCCAAAGACCAAAGGCCCCTTTTAGCTAGACAGGTCCTGTTAAGGTGTTACATTGCTGATAGCCTATTGCCACAGGGTAACTATTTTGCTAATACTTAGGTTGTTCAATCCACTCTTTCAAAATCCTGGCTTGGAGCCTTGCAGGTGATGCCTATACTGCTGAGTGTAAATTGAGCATGTGATCTGACTGACAGTCATTTATATGAAAGCCCAGGCCAAGTATAGCCCAGCATACGGAAAAAAAGAAAGGAAAGAGCAAGTCCTGGCCTTGCATCTTAGCACTGACCTACACACATCTTACAGTGGTTTAGATGGTCTGGTTGGGGGAGGAGGAAGGAGGGTGGCTGAGTGTCTGTTCACAGGAGTTCATTCACTGATGGCTATAGTCCTGACATAGAAGTGACATGATTACTGAAGAACTCAGTGTCCATAGTACAGCAAGTGGGCACTCAGAATATGCCTGTACAGCGCCAGGTAGTACCTGGACATACCTGAGCTAGCCAAAACATCAGCTACCCTGGGAAGGACAAAAGACCCCAGAAAAGCCACTGCCTGGGCCAGCATGCACTTCTCCCCATAGCCTTTGGCTTGCAAAAGCGTGTTCCCAAGCGATCTAAAAATTGCAATCCTAACCTTTGGAAGTGCAAAGAAGTCAGTGTTTCCCTAGGCTTTTCTGACTGCATTCACAAAGAAGACCATTTCTTCAGGAGCATTGCTAAAGCTATCCACTGTTAGAAATAGTGGCTTTGCAATAAAGGATTGAAAAACTGAGTAAAGAGTGATGTGGCATGAAACAGTGAGCATCCCGTCCTGTGGGACAGCCAATTTGCTCACAGGCAGCACTAAACAAATGTAAAGGCCCTAATGAGTAGCTGACTGCATGTTAGTCCTGAATTTAACCCTCAGTATCTTTTATTAGCTGCACTTCTCCTTGATTCTGAGAATTACTTCTCCCTTCCTCCACTGGTTCATTCCATGCTTTTTCTTATTGTATTGCTCTATGTTACCTGGTCCACTACTTTTTTTCCTAGTGCTTTAACTGATATGTATTAATACTGGGACCTTCAGGGCAGGACTACAGTTCAGTTGCCAGGACAAGTCAACCACCTAGCTTGGAGGATAACCTTCTCCTAGACGGAAATGAAGATGTGCTTGCATGTAAGGCACCAGCCAGCAGTTCAGGGAAGTTAGATATAATGCCTGATTCTCTTAACATTACCTTTGTGTTCTCCTTGACAAATACAGCAGCTCCTCAGCTTCAAAAGGGCAATGTTACTTATCTGCATCAAAGGTAGGAGAGGAGGGAAGAGGGACCAGGGAAGGAAGCAGAGGCGAACTAACTGCTCTAGTGTCTGAACAACACCCAGCTCAAGTTCTGAAATAGCCAGATTCCTATCAGAGAGAAAAAAGGCCTAGGACTGAGATGCTTGATAGAAATAGATGTAGTTGAGAACTGCAAAATCTCTGTTTGGTACAATATATGAGGAGCTGTGCAATTTAACTCCTTTCTCTAAAACAGGATTTATGAAAGTTTGTGGAGACACAAAAGGAATTATTTTGGTAACAATGATTTTCCAGTGCTGCAAGATATGTCTGACTTCTACTGATTTTATGGCAACTGCCATGGGGACTTTGAGTGATTACTTTGCCCCACATAGGCATAACATAATTTACTCTGCCTGAAGTCAGCGGTCTGAGGACACGGTGTACAAAGTAAAATAAAAAATTTGTCTGAGAATGTCTTCCAGATGTTGATATGGGTGGGGAACTGCATTAAAGCACTTCTCCATCAGATATTAAAGATCAGCTAAATCCAGTATGACAAACTGAGTAAAGAGAGAGAGATAAATGTCACTCTGTGTTAAAAACAGACACATCTATCAAATATGATCTTTGTAAATACTACAGAAAATCGAAGTAATAGCTATGGAAAAAAACACTCAAACAAAAACCCACTTTCATACCACAGCACAGTTTTTTTTCTGGAACTGTTGTTTTAATGTGTAGCTCTGAGGCACTAATAATTGTAATGGTCAATACATGGCAATAGCTCTTACTTCCCTCTAAACTGACCCAAAGGGATCACCTAGAAAGTATATCAGTACATGTGCCATCAGCAAACAAGTTTCATCATCAGCAAACATCAGCATAAGCTTCACTTATAATCAGTGTTAGGAATTCTCTTTCCAATCTCTGCAAAAATGTAAAAGCAAATTACATTAGGTGGTTGTTTTGAGCATTTCCCATTCCCAGTTCATTGTGAAGTATATGCAAGGTGCAGTAAATGTAAATGACAAATTGTGTCAGATTTCTGTCATATAAATTTGCTGTGAGCAAACTGAGCAGCAGTTGTGCTATAGCTATTCTGACCTAAGGATGCAAACAGGGCATAACCACAAAAGGTAAAAAACCACTGGTCTGAAACACACAACCTCATCATACAAATTAAAAAAAAAAGCAAAAGAAGATAGCTCAAAATGGTTATATGCAGGAATCTATTAGCTCTTACCTAAATTTTATACCTATATGTAGTAGTGCTGCCCACAAGACACTTCCATTCTATCAGATTTCTTTTGGAGATAAGATGCCTGCTAGTTTGGGGAAGAAAATCTCTAGAGTTGTCCTATACACAGGCAAATGGCATTCCTCAGGAGTCGGTATTGGGACCAGCGCCGTTTAACATCTTTGTCAGTGACATGGACAGCGGGATCGAGTGCACCTTCAGCAAGTTTGCTGATGACACCAAGCCATGTGGTGTGGTCAAAACGCTGGAGGGAAAGGATGCCATCCAGAGGGACCCTGGCAGGCTTGACAGGTGGGGCCATGTGAACCTCGTGAAGTTCAACAAGGCCAAGTGCCAGGTCCTGCACATGGGTTGGGGCAATCCCAAGGACAAATACAGGCTGGGCAATGAGTGAACTGAGAGCAGCCCTGCGGAGAAGGACTTGGGGGTATTAGTGGATGAAAAACCAAGTATGAGCCAGCAATGTGCGCTCGCAGCCCAGAAAGCCAATCGCATTCTGGGCTGCATCAAAAGAAGTGTGGCCAGCAGGTAGAGGGAGGCGATTCTGTCCCTCTACTCTGCTCTTGTGAGACCCCACCCCACCTGGAGTACTGCATTCAGCTCTGGGGCCCCCAGTGTAAGGAGGACATGGACCTGCTCAAGCGGGTCCAGAGGAGGGCCATGAAGGTGATCAGGGGGCTGGAGCACCTCTCCTATGAGGACAGGCTGAGAGAGTTGAGGTTGTTTAGCCTGGAGAAGAGAAGGCTCCAGGGAGACCTTATAGCAGCCTTCTAGTACCTAAAGGGAGGCCTGCAGGAAAGATGGGGAGGGACTCATCAACAGGGAGTGTAGTGATAGGATGAGGGGTAATGGTTTTAAACTTAAAGAGGGTAGATTTAGGTTAAATATTAGGAAAAAAAGTCTTTACTGTGAGGGTGGTGAGGCACTGGAGCAGGTTGCCTAGAGAGACTGTGGATGCCCCATCCCTGGAAGTGTTCAAGGCCAGGTTGGATGGGGCTTTGAGCAACCTGGTCTAGTGGGAGGTGTCCCTGCCCATGGCAGGCAGGCTGGAACTAGATGATCTTTAAGGTCCCTTCCAACCCAAACCATTTGACAATTCTATGATTCTAAATCCTAGTGCTGCCTTCTCAACATTAAGGAACATAACTTTCGTGATCACATTTTGAAGGGAGTAGATGCACATTTTTCTCTTGCTGTGTCCTACTTTTTGTTTTTAGTATGCTGGATTTTTGATTGCTTCTCAGAGCATGAGTTTTTCATATGCATGGATTGGATGACAAAAGAGACAAGTATGTTCCTAACTCTGCCAAAGACCTGCTGAATACTTTAGAGCTAGCCCTTCCATATCTCTACACAACCTCTGTACAAGCAAACCAGCGTTTAGCATCCTAAGTTACCACCACATCTTCCTGTGAGAATTAGCATTTTTTTAAATGTTGACTTGGAAATAAACTTCAGCCAAAAAAAACTCAGTTTCCACTTTCCCAGATGTTTGTGCACACTAACCAAAATGTAACATAATGTCTTTTCTGCACCCATAGAAGCTTCTCCTCACTTGTGCAGAAAGGAGTACTTACTTCCAATATCTGGCCGTAGCTTTTTGTCATACTCTCTCAACAGCTTGTTCAGTATGAGAGTCACATCTGTGTCCTGTGTTTTTGGAGCTAAAACCCATTTTTGGTTAGTTGTTCCATCTTCATATTCATCCTCTTCAACCTTTCTAGAACTGCAATAACAAATCATACAAATAGATGTTATTTTACATAACCAAATTCTGAATTTACATTCCAGGTAAAACTCCACACTCATCTGAAGAGGTTTTAGATATCTCCCTTGGCTTTGCATCTACCCAGCCTTAGGCTGTTTTTGCAACAGGATGTTCCCATTAACAGTTGTTGAGTATGTGTGGAGGGGTCATGACTGAGACTTGTTTAGAAATTGTCTTCTGTCAGTCTCTCAAAAAAATTATACTCTGGGAGTTAATACAGCTATCAGAGTAGTATTTTATATCCTGTATTTTAACCAACCTATCCCTGACTAGTTAGTTTACAATATACTCTTACGAAGAGTGAACATCTGCAGTATTATTTTATTAATACATCAGGACAACTGATTCATCTCTTGCACAAAGGCTAATAAGAGTATTAAAAATTCAGATCTTTTAATACTTCCTGATCATTTTATCCTATTAATAAATTATTATATTCTCAGTGCCTGAATTTCAGAGTTTAATGTATTACAAGGCTTAGAATTAAGAGCTTGCTCCTTGAATTTAAGATGGATTATCAGCAGCACACAAATACATTGCATAAATTAATCTGAATTTCCCTGCAGTTTTAATGACATTTTTAAAAAAAAACCAAAAAACAGTATTACACCAAGAGTTGCAACTTCTTTTCTTAATAGGTGGATTATTTTTATTTTAAGAGTATGCTGATACAATTGTGAAACTGCAGTTTGCCCAGAAATCACAGCTACAGATGTCTTCAGACAAGACTAATTCCATTTGTGTGGCTTTTTGTGCACAAACAGTAAAATGTTGATTTGAAGTATCTTTTGGTATCTTAGAAACCAAATCTGTTTGATGTCTATCACTGGAGAAAAATCTATGACAGTTAAATTGAGATGAAGTTATCAGGAGAAAAGATAACCTCAGTGGTGGAACGTACAGCAGTAATCATGTGTTGCTTCGACCTGCAATTGCCCTGGTGATACGATACCATTTCACAATCTTTTTACACAAATGTGAATAATTATGCAAGGTGCAAAGCAATGGAGAATCAGACGCACCAGCCTTGCTTATTCACAGGATGCACTACACACATCAGAGCAACCTCCTTTCTCTCTCCTTCTCTCTATAGTGACACTAGTGTCTTTTAAAATGTCTCAGATGTCCAGAAGACTTTATAGAAACCCTATAGTAACAGAACAACAAAAAATACAAGTATAAAAATTTAATCACAGAGTATCATCAACCCTCAACACTGCTTGTAGACCACCATTTGAACATTTAATGAAACTTTTAATTGAAACTGCTCTACAGCCAATACGTCCCTAAGGATTAGCCATGAATCACTTAACATGACCACAGAAATTGTGAGTGCTTTAGGTACGATTTCTATATAAAAATAATTTTGAAACCTAGCCCCTGAGGATTTTCTACAGGGAGAGCTCATACAACCAAGTTGCAGAAGTAGAAAAAACTTAGGGGAAATTTTTAATAGACAACCAACCATTCCTTCTCTGTTAGTGAGTTGTATTTTTAAAAAAACTTGATCTTTCTTCTACAATTCACGCTACGAGCATTAAAAAACCCTAAAAGGATTTTTTGTTGGGTTTTTTTTCTCCCCCAGATTCATGACAAGCCCTATGTTTTAATACTGCAGTTACAAAACCATTCTCAAAGGAGGCACCGTCTCCAAACATACACGGTTGATATTTCAAAGCTGAAACTCTACAGTGGTGCTGAATTGCCGATAGGAAAGCAGCACAAATCCTGCATCTTTTTCTGCTACATCCACCACAACTTTACTGGAGGCATTCAGACTGCACGTGGAAATGAGCACTGAGTTCGGGTAGCATCATGATCCCCTTTCAAGGAGCCACTCCTTTAAAAACAGTCACTAACAAGAGTCTGAGCACTGGCAAACCTTTTAAATCCACTCACTCTAGCAGCTCGTTTCCTATAGAGTACCTCCAAACCATGTAAATTCCTACCTACCTTCTAGATTAAGATTGGGGCTGGGAGCGGATTCACAGTGGATCAGACTAACACACCAGACACATATTTTTTAAGGTGTTTTGTTTTCTTCCTTAATAGTTTGTTACTTCACTTCCCTTGCTTGCCTCCACACAGTCAAGCTCCTTGAAGGCACTTGAGGTTGCATTTTCACCTGTAGCCTTACTGGTGACTGCTAATTCCCAGCATATTCCTGCTATCCACAGAAACAAGCACAGGATGATGTCAGGCCATTCTCAAACTGGGGGGGAAGAAAGGCTGCACACCTTCCCCAAACTCCTCAGGGGCCACTAGTTTTGATCCTCTGAGGAGACAGAGAGGAGGCAGCGCACAAACTGCAGAGGAGGAAGGCCGGAGAACCCTGAGCGGCTGTGGGGAAAGGGTTTAGTTCCTGCAGCACGCGTGTCCCGGGACTTCCTCGGGGCGCCGGCATGAAGCAGCCTCTAGTTCCCGCGGGGACGCGGGAGGGATGCCGCTCGGGTGCGGGGCCGGCTGCCGAGGAGATCATGGTCGAGACACAGGGAAGGGAAGGGCTGGGCCTCCGAGCACGCCGGCAGCCCCGTTCGCGGCAGATCCCGCGGGGGGGGAAGCTGAGGCGAGCCCTTTGCCTGGGTTATGCGGGGAGGGGCCCTTCCTAGTACCCCGGACAACCACGGCGACCGAAGGCGAACCCGGTCCAACAGGCCACAGCTGCAGCTAGCGGCCGTCCCCCTCTGGCCCCTCACCGCCCGCCATTACCGGAGCCCCGCCGCGGAGACCCTTCCCGCCCCTGAGGCGGGTGCCAGGGGTTCCCCCTCCCGGCCCGCCTCCACGCCCGCCGGGCCGAGGCGGTTTAGGGTAGCCGCCG